TTTTTTTTTTTTTTTTTTTTTTTTTTTTTTTGTCTTTTGTCTTTTTTCCGTGTCCGGCAACGGATCGCAACCCTCAGTGTTGCCCCCGTACCGGACCGGGGACCGGCAACGGGATCGCAAGCCTCGGTGTTGCACCCACGCCTCACTCAGCCAGTGAGCGGGAGCCGGTCTGTATGTGGGATCCGAACCCTCGGACGGGAGCGCCGCCGCGCTTCCCAAGCGGTGCCCGGCCCAGGTGCTGTGTTTCAAAGAACATTTGCTCCTAGATATCATATTAAGTTTAGAATAATCTGGAAAGAAAAAAAAATCTAATTTATGTTTAAGTTATGGAGGCTCAACATAAATGACAACTAAAGACCTGAGGGGGAAGATACTTAGTAAAACATTCAACTATATTGTTCCTTTGTTTACAGAACAGATGTGTCCTAGAAAAAAATAAAGGTCAGTTTCTATAAACTGCATCTTATATACCCAGTGACATCTCGAATAAAACCGAAGACACATTCTGATATAAAAAATTCTCTCCCAAAAGAAATTTAAACATTTAAAAAACAAAACTCTATGAGGGCAGATCCCATGTCCAATTTGTTCACCATAGTATCCTTAAATGATCTTGCCATCCATCATTCATTAAACAAATATTTACTGAGAGCCTACTATGTGCCAGATATGATTTTAGGTTCTAGCAGTGAACATTTTGTTCTCAGGGACCTAACCTTTAAGTGGAGGAGAGACAGACAGTAAGTAAATAGGTGTAAAATATGTCAGGTTGTGTTAAGTGCCATGAAGAAAAATATACCACGGTAAGGAGACAGTATGGGATGAAATATTAGAAGAGGATATCTATAAATTTTTATAAAATTCTTGTATAAAAATTTGTCACATGTAGTGAAAGCACCTATTTTTATTCTCAGCTTCAATGTTTTTGTGACTAGAAAAAGATATTTGTATCCAATATTAATAATACCTTCTTATCAGAGAAAAGGCCAAGCAAATTAAAACTAAAATTAAAATTTAATTTAATTTAAATCCCTGAAAATTAAATTTCTGAAATCTATCAATAAACTTACAACTATGTTTTTTTTTGAGTTTGGACAACAGATATAAGGGTGACTCCTTTCTCTCTGATGTAAAGATACTGGAAGCATAACCATGTTCTCTCTCTCAAACACCAACACACACACACATACACACTTTGTTAAAAGAAAGAATTCCTCTGAGAGGTGGCCAAGGTATGTGCATATGTGCTGTAAACCAAAGTGTGATGATTATGTCATTGCTGTGAATCAAGAATACTTGTTATTTAAGCAATAGTGCATTTCTTTATGAATTTCATGATGAATTATGTTTTCAAATCTTCACTTTGCCTAACCCAACTCTTTATTTTGTAACTTTTGAGGGCTTAACAATAGCAAATTACCTGGTAAGGTTGGAAATAAGAAAACAAGCATAATGAGAAAACAATCACGAGTGATTTGCTTAAAACAAATACGTTACCAAATGAGCTGATTTTGGTGGATTCAGACAAATATCTTGATTTCTACAATAGTAAATATACAAACTAAACAAGTAAAATAGCCATGTACAATGACCAGAGTATTTCTTTAAAGAAAAAACTATGTTATTTTTTTCTTTTATTTTCCTTTTTTAAAAAAAGAAATCAATGACTTCGAAAGAAATTCAATAGCATTGTTTCAGTTACATCTCCCTATGTAATGTGATGGTTTGACCTTAAGCAGCTTTGGGAAATCCAGCATAGTAAAGTGAGGGAGTACTGCAAAGCTTTGCGAGGCAAGTTCAGTCTTACAGATCATGCTACACTTAATTTTTATAGCTGTTATATAAACTTTTCTGTGAGGGAAAACGGTCTGGCGCCAGGAAAGAACCGGCCCCATTGGCTTTGGGCTTTACCTTATTTCCTGTACCAGCACAGCAGATCCCCAGGGCCATTGCAGCTCCATAACGCACATGAGGGTTGTAACTCTCTGACAACAAAGAAACAACACTGGGGCACTGTTCAGGGGTCCTGATAAGAAACAGAAAAAAAAAAAAAAAAATAGAGTACTTACACAGATTGTAGAATTAAAAATCTCCCACAGAATTCTAGTTATTGATATAAGAAATCTATGTCCGTATTCAGAGAATATACGCAAAGAGGACCATTAACAGTGACTCCTCAACCACAGTCATTATCTAGCACCTCACCCATAGTGGGGAACAGCTGTGTGGGGGCAGCACACTACTCTACATCCATTTTCCTGTTTCCTGGTCACTCTGTATTTTGTTCCAGGAGACGAAAGTTGTTTATAGAAACTGCTGGATGTTCCAAAGCTGCATGAAAGATTTAAATCCCCCAGTATTACTCTGTTTGAATATTAAACTGGTAAATAAGCCCTGATAATGAGGAAATTCTGGCTTTTTTTTTTTTGCCTTCAGTGATTATTTTTGTGTTAATAAAAGTAATAGAGAAATTGTTCTTTTTCCATCCTCTCCATATTTGCTGTAAAGACAAAAACAGGACAAACTTGACGAATGGAGTACACCACCTCATCTTTTAAAAGACTATCTTTTTATAGTGGCTACCCTTGAAGAGAGCAGGACTGGGTAGTAACTAGAAGAAAGTGTAAGGGGAGCTTCTGGGAAGCTGGTAATGTTATGAACTGGAACTGGGCACTGGTTGCACAGGTGTGTTCAGTTGTGAAAATTCATCATGCTTTAGGCTAATTAAGAATTTTGTGCACGTTTTTGGATATACATTAAACCTCAATAAAAAGTTTTTTTTAAAAAAGTCTATCACATTATGAATGAAAGCAGTTATCACCATAAACCAACTCATATGCATAATTCTAAGTTGGAAATGTCTTCTAGCCTCAAACTCCAGTGAGTGGTAAATCCAAATTTCAAATGGAATAGAGTCAAGTTTATGAAAACTGTGTTGTTAAATGAAATTTTGTTTTTTTTTTTTTTTTTTTTTTTGGTGGCTGGATGGTACAGGGATCCGAACCTTTGCCCTTGGTGTTATAAGGCCACACTCTAACCAACTGAGCTAACCAGCCATCTCAAAATAAATTTTTGCTATACAGGAAGGTTGGGATTATCTCCCCCTACAAGAGTCTATCACTCTTTTCCTGAAAATGTTTTCAGTTTGCCTAAGCTTCCTTGTATGAATGATTTGAGATGATACTACTAGCAACAATATGGAAAAATAGTATGGTGTGGTGAAAAAGCAATGTACTACAAAACAGAAGATCTGGGTTCTAGTTCTAGCTTTGCTAATTTGTGAGTTATATAACATGAGACACTTAAGTTTTTCACTAAGGTTTTTTAGACATAGATTTTCTTGACTATTTTGCAGGAATAATATAAAAAACAGATGAGCAAATCACTGAAAATATAGGAATAACATACATGCTTTCAGTTGATGCATACTGAGTTAAATAACAATAAGCTATACAAGAGGAAAGCATGAAGTCTAAAACCCAGGTTCTAGTTCCCATTTTGTCTCTAAATAACTGGGCCAATTTCGACAAGGTTCAATTAGCCAAACACTTTAGGGTCCCTTTCCACTGTTAAAAAAAAAAAAAAAAAAGGAATGAGTCTAGAAGTTCTATAAGGTCTGTTCCAACCTCACAATTCTACCGCTTTTAAAAATGAACCAATTATGGGCCAGCCCAGTGGCGCACTGCTGCAGTGCGCTGCTTGGGAAGCATGGCGGCGCTCCCACCGAGGGTTCAGATCCCACATACAGACCAGTTCCCGCTCACTGGCTGAGCGAGGCGCGGGAGTGGCACCGAGGGTTGCGATCCCGTTGCCGGTCCCGGTCCGGTCCGGGGGCGACACTGAGGGTTGCGATCTGTTGCCGGACACGGAAAAAAGACAAAAACAAACAAACAAACAAACAAAAAACACTTCTCTTTTGGGCCGGCCCAGTGGCGCACTGGATAGTGCGCCGCTTGGGAGGCGCGGCGGCGCTCCCACC